CCTCCCCTCCCCTCCCCTCCCTTCCCTTCGCCCCTCCCCTCCCCTTCCCCTCCCCTGCCCTACCCCTTCCCTTCCCGCCCCCCTCCCCTTCCCCTCGCCTCCCCTCCCCTTCCCCTCCCTCCCCTTCCCCCCCTTCCCCTCCCCTTCCCCTTCCCCCCTCCCCTTCCCCGTCCCTCCCTCCCCCTCCCCTCCCCCTCCCCTTTCCCCTCCCCCTCCCCTTTCCCCCCCCCCTTCCCCTCCCCCTTCCCCCCACGGTCAGCCGGGCGCGCCTGGGGATCCCTGGCCCGCCTGCCGAATGCGACCACAGCACCTCTTTTGCGCAGCACGCGCAGCAGGGCACACCTGCGGGCCAAGGGGCGACGACGACGACGACGACGACGACGACGACGACGACGACGACGACGACGACGACGGCGACGACGACGACGACGACGACGACGACGCAGCGACGACGACGACGACGACGACGACGTCGACGACGGCGGCGACGACGACGACGACGACGACGACGACGACGACGACGACGACGACGACGACGACGACGACGACGACGACGACACAGCGACGACGACGACGACGACGATGACGACGACAGCGACGACGACGACGACGACGACGACGACGACGACAGCGACGACGACGACGACGGCGACAAAGATGCGGACGGCGACGGCGACGGCGGCGGCGGCAACGACGAACAAGAGAACGCAGAGGACCAGGAGGACATGGAGGCCGAGGACGAGCGAAGACGACGACAAGGAGAAGGACGAAAACGAGGAGCAGGTGAGGCAGGACGAACAGGATCAGAACAAAGAGAAGCGGCATATGCGGTACGACGGTGCTCGGCCAGCAGCATGGGAAGGCGCTCTCGCCGCAAGCCGTGTTGCTCGTGCAATGTGACATCTGGTGTGAGGCCTGCTGGGATGGGGGCGGGCCATGACGTTGGATCAACATCAAGCATCGAACCTGTTTTTATTTCCCACGATAGCGGCCGTCACTGGCTCCGCGCCCCCCCAAGGTGACGTCACGCTTCGTGCCGGCGGCGTCCCGAAATGCCAACGGTGACCGAGGCCAAGTGCGAGGAGCACCACAGCGCCTGCCTGTGTACACCCGAATGCTCGCGTGCACTATAGCGCGCGTGTACACCACAGCGTCTGCGTACATCGCAACAGCCGTGTGCGACGCAGCGCCTGTGTACACCACGGTGCTTGCGTGCACCACAACTCGTGTGTACACCACAAAGAACACGTACACCGCAGCAGCCGTCTGCAACACAGCGCCAGTGTACACCACGATGCTTGCTTGCACCTCAGAGACTGTGCACATCACAGCGCCTGCGTACACCACAGCATCCGCGGTCAAGACAACGCCAGTGTACACCACAGCGCCTGCGTGCACAGGACAGGTAGAAGGTCCACGTAGGTGAAGATCAGCTGCGGACACAATCGATATCTATAGTGTGGGCGGGCAGTAAGGACGCAAAGGCCTTGGACGCCGAAGTTGGCACTTTGGGCGACGAGTTGCCAACACCCGTAAGAGCTGAGACAAGGAGGCAAGCGTACCCTAAGGACATTCGTGCGTCCTTACTACGACTTCTGACGTACGTACTACGACGTTAGAGCGCTGATAAAAGAATGCGATGTTCTGCCCTCCTCGCGCCCCCATGCCACAGCGCTTCCCACTGCTGTACCTCCACAGTGCCCCACGCCTCAAGCGAAATCCGTCAGGAGGTGGGACGATGCGGGGGACTCGGGAGGACTCGTAGATTCCAGAAGCGCTCCTTTGTCCATGAGGATTCCCTTCCAAATTCAAAAAAAATGTTGTCTGTGAAATCCACAGGCGATGTTTTTTGTCATAACGATTCCTTCTACAATCTTCTATACAACAGTTGTGTTATGTTGCACACGGTTGCTGCGGTACACACAGGCGCTGTGATGCATGCAAACACTGTGGTGCGCTATGCTGCACAAGGCCGATGTGATATACGCACGCGCTGTGGTGTACAAAAGCGCTGTGGCGCACGCAGGCACTGTGGTGTACGCAGGCGCTGTGTTGCACGCGGCTGCTGTGGCGTACATAGGCGTTGGGGTATACACAAGCGCTGTGGCGCCGTACGCAGGCACTGTGGTGTATACAGGCGCTGTGGTGCAGATCGCCACCTACATGCTGCTGCTACCCGTTCCCGGTCCTTCCTAGGTATTCCCACACGCCGCCGACGCGAAAGGTGACGTCACCGGCCCCCGCTCCCCCCCCCCAAGTGACGGCCGTTATCGCCCCGGAAAAAAAGGGTGCTGAGAACGCAATCATGTAATGCCATCAGCCCGTTAAATCATGAGCTGTCGAAAGCCTATGGCGATACCTCCTCCAATATCCTTTCTTCCATTCGGGGAGGGATTGATCATTGCCCCTTACGTTTTGTTTGTTATACATATATATATATACACACATATATATATATATATGTATTACCAAAAATCCCACCAGCCCTCTGGGCGTCGGTGGTTTAGAGCGTTTCCTCTTCCACCCCTCCCTCTTCCCCTTCGGGGAGGGGTTTACCCCTCCCCCGACCCCCCCCCCACTGACCTGGACAGGAGGGGCGGGGAGCGGTCAGAGCGTCCAAAACGGCCTCGCCGAGGAAGCCAAAATCATTGATTGTACTATGGTTTTGGCCCCATGTTGGCCTTCTGACGGGGCAGGGCTGGTTAAAGCTCCCCTCTTCTTTGAAGCCAGAATCATTGATTTTACTATGCTTTTGGCCCCACGTTGGCCTTCTGAGGGGGCAGCGCTAATTAAAGCTCCCCTCTTCTTTGAAGCCAAAATCATTTATTTTACTGAGGTTTTGGCCCCATTTTGGCCTTCTGAGGGGGCAGCGCTAATTAAAGCTCCCCTCTTCTTTGATCGATGTCCTCCAAGATGGCCCCAAGAAGCGCCCAGGAGGCCCCAAGAGGCCCCAAGATGGCCCCAAGATGGCCCCAAGAGGCCCCAAGAGGCCCCCAAGAGGATCCCAAACGGCCCAAAGAGGCCCCCCCGAGGCACCCAAGACGCCGAAAAGCCCCTCAGGACGACCCTCTATTCGCCTGGGCGTCGTTTCTGGACGGGCTGGTGGGGATACGCGAAGCGTCTAGAATACCAAAAAAAAATCCCCAACCCGATCGGCGACAAACCCGTACCAATAACGACCCCTCAACATCAACGCTCGCAAAAAAAACGTGCGGAGTGCACTTTACGACAAAGTCGAAATCATGCGCGGACGCCCCGCGATCCCTTTGCATGGTTTTCGACAGGGACGGCGGAGGGACCAGCATACTCCTGCTGCCTGCAGGCCCACCACCCCTTTCAACAAGACATAGAAAGTTAACTTTTCCAAGGACGACGAGGAGGGGCGAAGCACTGCCTGCTGTGCGCAGGCCCACCATCCCCGTCAAAAACTAGTGCAAAGTGAGCACGGGTGCACACCCACAAGCAATACACGATGCTCGCAAACCTGCCGTCACTTCGCATCGGTTCTTGACACGGCTGGTGGGGGGTCGACATACTGCCCAATGTGGCGCCCCATGGTGCGCGTGGCGCCCCTGGCACGTGCGGCGCACCTCGCGCCGCCGCTCCCCGGCACCACGCATCCTGCTTTCTGGGCCGCGTCTGGCCGTGGGAGCGCGGCGGAGGGGTGGGAGGGCGAAAACCCATGGACGGTACGCAACGTGTACAGTCGGGGCCTTGACCTAAGGAACCCTAAATAAGGAACGAGGCCCCTTTTTCCCACAATTGAAACTTCGACTTCTTATCGAAAACGAAAGGAAAACCTGAGGCAAGCTGTGAAACACGTAAGGAACGCGGAGCCCCTCCCCAACGAAAAGGGTTCCTTCTTCAGGGCCCCGACTGTACCTGTGCACCACCGCCGTGCCTGGCCAGGGCCATGCTGGGACCTGGCGTGGTGCATGCGCCCTGCTGGCCAGAGCAAGGAAGGTCTGCACGACACCCTGGGGCCCTGGGGCCCAGGAGGGCCCAGGCGGGCTGGGCACTGTTCCCCAATCAGAGCTTGCCTCTGTAGGGGTCCTGGCGGATTCATATGGTTAGATTAGGTTTGTCGCCGATTTTCGCTGCACGCCCGGGTGCCCGGGCTTGCCCGGGGGTGCCCGGGGGTGCCCTATAGCCCTATAGCCCTATAGCCCTAAGCCCTATAGCCCTATAGCCCTATAGCCCAATAGCCCAAGTGCCCTATAGCCCTACAACTCTCTAGCCCTATAGCTCTATAGCCCTATAGCTCAATAGCCCTATAGCCCTACAGCCCTATAGCCCCCTAGCCCTATAGCCCTGATTGGAGTTTCTCCGGTATCATGGCGTATACAAATGCCTTCTGCGGATGAGGGGGTGGAAGCCCGGTGACGGACTGACTCCTCCTCCTCCTCCTCCTCCTCCTCCTCCTCCTCCTACTCCTCCTCTTCTTCTTCCTCTTCCTCCTCCTCCTCCTCCTCCTCCTGCTCCTCCTCCTCCTCCCCACGGCGGGAACGGGGGGCCGACTTCATTGGCCACGTGAGGATCGCCCGGCAGCACAGCACGCGCACCAGCGGGAAGAAGGTCCTCGGCACGAGCATTTCTCGGGAGGGCCTCATCCTCGTTCATGCATCCTCCTCCTCCTCCTCCTCCTCCTCCTCCTACTCCTCATCCGCTCTCCTCTCCTCCTCCTCCTCCTCCTCCTCCTGGCTCGCCTCATCCCCTCTTCCTCTTCCTTCTCCCTCTCCTCCTCCTCCTCCTCCACCTCCTCCTCCTCCTCCTCCGCCTCCGCCTCCTCCCCTCCTCCTCCGAGGAGGAGGAGGATCGACGACGGCGCAAGAGGTGGGCTCCTACCAGTACGTACTGGCGCAGGCCGAGGCGAACATCAAGTATGCGAGCAACCTGATGGAGACAATGAACACTGCGGTGGCAGTGCACATCAAGCGCATGAAGGGCTTAAAGTAGATCCTCGACATGAGTAAGACGCGAACGGAGCTTTGCGAGGAGAGCAAGCCAGAGCAGTCTCTGTCCAAGTACGAGGCCCTCCAGAAGCTCAACGACTGGATGCGCCAGGTGGCGCAGCGCATCCTCAAGATGCACGAGGTGAAGGGCAAGATGAAGATGGGCAAGGATGCGGCGGCTTCTCTACCCAGCATGAAGATGAAGACAACTACGCGGAGCCACAGATCGATGAGCTCACGCTCCCGAAGACGGTCGCGGCGGTGGACAACACAAACTACGCGGGGAAGAAGAACGAAAATCCGCCGTGGAAGCAGGACGACCCAAGCACGTGGGTGTACTGCGGCTGGGTGGAGATGGACCCAGGCAAGTGGACCGACCGCGAGGAGCGCATGAGCGAGAAGGCCGACAGCGCACAGGAGCCTACCGTGTCCCTGGCGACGGCCCCTGCCACGGACGAGGGCGAGAGCAGGAGCAGCGCGGACGGCGTGGACCCAGAGGCACAGCGAGTGAGACGGCATGGCTGAAACGAGGACAGGATCGCACGTCTCAGGCACCCCGAGCGCGAAGCAGTAAGGAGGCCTTTGTTGTTCTCCGCTTCGCGGCGAGCAGCAAAGGGCACGGCCCGACGGCGTTGCCCGCCAGCCGCTTCACGCCAACGGCCGTGACCAAAAAAAAAACGCATGCTGTGCCGGCACAGGCTGGATATGTTGGAGGACGCGCCGTGCCGAGCCAATCCCGACCTGTCACACGTCCCAGGGCCAGGAGTGACCCGCCTCGTGCCAGTGCAGCTCGTGGGACCCGTGGGTGGGGGGCGGAGGGGGAGAGGCGGGAGAGGCGGGAGGAGAGGAGAGGAGGGAGAGGGGGAGAGGAGGGAGGCGGGAGGAGAGGAGAGGGAAGGGAAAGGGTAGGAGAGGAGAGGAGGGGGAGGCGGGAGGAGAGGAGAGGGAGGGGGGGGAAGCAGGGAGGCGGGAGGGGAGGAGAGACGGAGCGCGCGCCCGCGGCCGCGGCGCGCGCGCGCCCAGCACCCACTCCGCGAAGCTCGAGGCCCCCCGCTGCTGGCCGCGGCTGCTGCCGCCATCGCTTCCCCCCCCTGGCCCTCGATCCCCTCGTCGGTCCGCGCCTCCCCAGCGGGGGCTCCTCGCCCCTGGAACGGGCCACTGCTCCCCCCCCCTCGTCGTGGCGGCTGCGGGAGCGGCCCTCCGTGGCCCACCCCGCGCCCGCGGGCGGGCCCCCCAATGGGGGGCCCTGCACCCTCGTCTTCCGCAGGGAGGTCAGAGGTGTGCCTCCTTTGCCACACGACTCTCCGGGCGCCTTTACCTTTACCTTTACCTTTACCGTTACCTTTACCTTTACCTTTACCTTTACCTTTACCTTTTCCTCCTCCTCCTCCTCCTCCTCCTCCGCCTCCTCCTCCTCCGCCTCCTCCTCCTCCTCCTCCTCCTCCTCCTCCTGCACCTCCTCCTCATCATCATCATTCGTCCCTCCCGTCTCCCTCCCTCCATCCCTCCCGTCCTGCTCCTAAATTTCCCCCCCCCCCCCTCCTGCGGCGATGGGTCCTTGGAAGGGCCGGCGCGGCCACCCAGAGCGAGAGAGCGAGAGAGAGCGTGGTCGGCGAAGGGGCGCGCGCCTCTTGAGCCACCAGGGCATGGGGCGAGCCACGACGACGACAACGACGACGACGGCGGCGGCGACGGCGGCGACGGCGGCGGCGGCGACGACAGTGGCGGCGGCGGCGACGACGACGACGACGGCGGCGGCGGCGTCACGGACGGCGGCACGGACGGCGGCAACGGTAACGACGGCAGCAACGACGACGGTGGCGACGACGACGGTGGTGGCGGCGGAAGTGGAGACGGCGACGGCAAGAACGACGACGACGCCTACGGTAAGTTCGACGACGACGACGACGACGACGACGACGACGACGACGACGACGACGACGACGACAACGACGAACACGGGGACGGCGTTGACAACAAGGATCACGAGGACGACGAGGACGCCGACGAGGGCGGGGAGAAGGGGGAGAGACATGCAGGAGAGCGCGGGATGAGGGAGGGAAAGCGGCGAAGGGGAAAGAAGTGAGAGGCAAGGGGGCGGAGACCGTGAAAGGCGGCCTGGGGGTGTGCTCTGGACGGAGAGGAGACGACTTCGGATGCCCATCCGGAGAGAGCGGCCCACAGGGGACAGGGAACCAAGCCTGTGCACAGTGGTGCCGCTGTCCTGCTCTGACGGCTGGGGCCTGCGATGCCCCACCAGAGCCCCCCAGCGGCTCCCACGGGGAGCTGGGAGAAGGGACGGAAGAGCAGTGGAGGGGAGCAGAGAAGGAGCGGGGGAAGAGAAGCAGCGGGTAGCATTCCCTTCTGGGCAGCCCCACCACTGGCATCCTCAACATTGGCGGCGCGCACAAGGGGTTGAACAACGCAAAGGGGGCCGGCATTCTACGAAGGCGGGGGGCTTGAAAAACCATGGGGCTTCTCAGAAAGCATGGCACAAGCATGTACCGTCGGGTTGCTGAAATACGGAACGGTGAATAAGGAACGAACCCCCTTTTTGGCTCCAAAAACGCCGAAGTGCCTAGAGAAACAATAATGGAAAGACCTAGGGAACATCGAACCCTGTCCGAACCAAAAATGTTCCTCCTTCTATTGCAGCAATTTGGTTGGAGGCTCTTTCTAAGAAGGGCCCTACAAAAAACCCATGGCCGCCCCCCTCGTGCCACACCTTGGGCGCACCGCCAACAGTCGCGGAAGCCTGGGGATTTCGCCCCGCGTGCGCGCAGGTATTTGCACGTCCCCGCAGGCCCCCTCCTCCTCCACCTCCTCCTCCTCCTCCTCCTCCTCCTCCTCATCCTCCTCCTCCTCCTCCTCCTCCTCATCCTCCTCCTCCTCCGCCTCCTCCTCCTCCTCTCCTCCTCCTCCTGCACTCTTCCTCCTCATACATCATCATTCGTACCTCCCGTCCTGCCCTCCCTCCATCCCTCCCCCTGCTCCTAATTTCCCCCCCCCCCCCCCTCCTGCGGCGATGGGTCCTCCTCCACCTCCTCCACCGCCTCCTCCTCCTCCTCCTCCTCTCCTCCTCCTCCTCCTCCTCCTCTCCTCCTCCTCCCTCCTCCCTCCTCCTTCCTCCTCCCTCCTCCTCCTCCTCCTCCTCCTCCTCCTCCTCCTCCTCCTCCTCCTCCTCCTCCTCCTCCCCCTGGCGACTGGTCTCGACTGCAAAGCCGCGCGCCCCACCTCCGACGAGCCCCTCGCAGCGCCGAGCGGTCCGTCCGCCGCCCGCGCCCGCATCGGCCCAAAGAGCATAAGGCGTCTTACCAGAGCTTAGGAGGGCACCAGCTATACACCAACACCGATCCTGGCCAGGATCACCCTGGGCCCAGGATCGGTGCATATGCACTCCTACCTGGGGCAGGGAGGCATATACCCCGATCCTGGGCGCAGGATTGGCGAAGATCGGTGCAGGCGTATGGTTGCTTCCCTCCGAGAGTTTGACGGAACCGAAATCCCAAACCGTCCGCCGATGGCGCCCGCCATCGCGCCTGGCGCGCCGTCGCTCGTGGCCCCAACGCATGGCGAAGCTGCCTGGGCCGGCGAGGAGCTGATCCGATGGACCTTTCCTCCGACGCGTCGAGGCCATCGCACCGAATACATTTCGGAGATCGCGTCCCTCGTTCTTGTGGAAGGCTCGGCTGCACGCGGCGGCGTGCGCAGTCGCGCGAAAAGCGCTCTTTCGGAACGCCTCGGGCCCAGTGGGCGGCGGAGGAGAAAAGGATGCGGAAAAGGGAAGCTGTCATGACCTGACACCAGGGGACCCCGACACCCGGAGACGCTGAATGGAATGAGACACGTCGGCCCCTGCCCACGGCAGAACGAGGCAAAGACCGAAATACTCGCTGGTAGTATTGATACAATTCTCCTCCTCCTTCTCCTCCTCCTCCTCCTCCTCCTTCTTCTCCTCCTCCTCCGCCTCCTCCGCCTCCTCCTCCTAACGAATAAAGGGCGCTTCCCGTGTCGGCAGGGAAGGGCCTAAGCCGAACGGGAAGCGCTTTGGACTGGAAAGGCCTGGGGGTGAAGCGAGGATGGAGGCTGGGAGAGCAAGGGCGGGCGAGAGATGAGAGCAACAACACTGCGGCAGGGGGGAGCAGGGAGAAGAAATGGGGCAACTATAGGCTGGGGGGGAAGCAGCGGGCCAGCAACGGAAGACCCGAGATCCGCAGCACGGTGCCAGGAAATGGCAGCACGAGAGCACGAACTCCAAAGACCCAAGACTCCTGCAAACAAAAAAAAAAAACAAAAAAAACGCCCCGTAGTACCACTACTGCACGAACATAATTTGTCCCTGGGAATTTCGGGAGAAAGTCGGGCCCCAGCTTGAGGCGAGGTTCCGCCTTCCCGCGCGCTGCGGGGAAGAAGCAAAACCGCCGATAGAAGCATTGAATGGAAATGACTCTGCCGACCCCCGAGCGGGAGTCGAATGGCGCAGCGCTAGCTCGCAACCTCGTACCAGGACGTACGGGCACGCATCCTGAAATTACTTTTGGTCACTGCACAAGGGGGCAAAGGGGCCAGGTTCTCCACCTGACCGAAGCTCAGCTTCGGTTAGGCGAAGGAACGCGAAGGAACGCAGGGAACGCGAAGAGTGGCAAGGGACGCGAAGGCCAGCTGTTGGCCTTCGCGTTCCTTGCCGCTCGCTCCGAGGACGCAGGGAAGCTCATGTTCAAAACTGGGCCCTCGGCCGCACGGCATGACCATGGGGCGCCCGACTTCTGAGAGGGCACATCTCGCAGTGAAAAGAAAATGCTTCTAAGAGCTCATGACGAGGGGCATTTGCGATGCACCCTGCGAGATGCTCAAGAAATCATGGGTTAAGAAATTGATAGTCTCAGAATTTGAATAAAAACCCAGAATTTCTTTCGAAATCTTAGGATTTACATTGAAGCATTAAGAATGATCGAGACTCTGGCCGAAAACGCAAGTTTTCTTCAGCATCGCCTGAGGTGTACACACACAGACACACACACACACACACACACACACACACACACACACACACACACACACGCACATGTGTGTGTGTGCGTGTACTGCAACATCGTTGGCGCACCTCGCTGCTCCGGTCGCCCGTCTCCTGCCCGCCCACCGCCCGCCCCTCCTCCTTCCTCCCCGCCCCTCCGCTTCCAAACAGCACGCGCAGCGCACGCACAAAAACAGCAACTTTACGTGCGGGGCCAGATGTGAACCCTACCCCGCCCTCCCCCTCAGAAATCGTGGGGGGTAGGGGTAGGGCTCGTGTGTGCCCCCCTCTTTACGTGCGGGGTCTCTCGCCACGACTCCGCTCCGCCGCCCGAGGCGGCCCCACCCAGGGCCGCCCCCGGGAGGCCAGAAGGCGAGAGGGGGGGGGAGCAGCCGGCCCCTTACGGGGCAGAGGGGCGGGGGGGCTCTCAATCACACACACGCACACACACACACACAGCCACACTCACCCTCCTCCTCCTCCCCTCCTCCTCCTCCTCCTCCTCCTCCTCCTCCTCCTCCGCCTCCTCCACCTCCCCTCCTCCTCCTCCTCGCTCCTCCTCCTCCTCCTCCTCCTGTCTTCTTCTTCTTCTTCTTCTTCTTTTTTCTTCTTCTTCTTCTTCCTCCTCCTCCTCCTCCTCCTCCTCCTCCCTCTCCTCCTCCTCCTCCTCCTCCTCCTTGCCTCCTCCTCCCTCCTCCTCCTCTCCTCCTCCTCCTCCTGCTTCCTCCCTGCTCCTCTGCTCCTCCTGCTCCTCCTGCTCCTCCTGCTCCTCCTGCTTCCTCGCGGCTCCTCCTGCTCCTCCTGCTCCTCCTGCTCCTCCTGCGCCTCCTGCTCCTCCTGCTCCTCCTGCTCCTCCGGCTCCTCCCGCTCCTCCATGCTCCTCCTGCTCCTCTGCCTCCTGCTCCTCCTGCTCCTCCTGCTCCTCCTGCTCCTCCTGCTCCTCCTGCTCCTCCTTCTCCTCCTGCTCCTCCTGCTTCCTCCTGCTCCTCTGCTCCTCCTGTCTCCTCCTCCTCCTCCTCCTCCCTCCTCCTCCTCCTCCTCCGCCTCCCTCCTCCTCCTCCTCCTCCTCCTCCTCCTCCTCCTCCTCCTCCGCCTCGCCTCCGCTCCGCCTCCGCCTCCGCCTCCGTCCCCTCCCGCCCTCCGCCTCCTCCTCCTCCTCCTCCTCCTCCTCGCTCCTCCTCCTCCGCCTCCTTCTCCTCCTCTCCTCCTCCTCCTCCTCCTCCTCCTCTCCGCCTCCTCCTCCTCCTCCTCCTCCTCCTCCTCCTCCTCCTCCTCCTCCTCCTCCTCCTCCTTCTCTTCCTTCTTAATCACGCACACACACACCCTTTTTTGGAGCCGGCGGCGCAGAGGGTCCTCGGGCGCGAGCAGCAGACGGAGGGGCCAACTGCGGCGTGGCAGCATCCGAGGCGCGGCGCACAGAGCGTCTGCACTTCGCGGCATGCAAGCCAGGGGTGTTGTTAGAGGACCTGCAAGTCCAAACGAGATTTGCAAACACAAAACACACATACACACACACACACACACACACACACACACACACACATCCCCAGCGCGTGGAGCGCGCCAGGGGCGGCGCCAGCAGCACCGCCAGGGGGTCCAGCGCAAATCCAAGAAATCCGCGCAGACCTGCGAAAGTTTATGCTCATGCCGATTGTACACAAGTGCGTCCCATCACTCGCGAAGTAACTATTCGCAGATGGCCCGAATCCACCGCGGGGAACTTACAATCCATCACATCGAGGCGAAAATACTTCCCATGCTTTTTTGATAATAGGCGCTCTGCGAATAGTGGAACGCACTCGGTGAGTTCATGCCGCTTGTTCTTCTCCCAGCCCTCAATCAAGCTCGTCCAGCGCCGTGGCGGGCGCCGCCAGCCGCTCACACACGTAGAGGCTGCCACCCGACAGGTCCTCCGACAGGGGCACCACCTCCACGACGCGGAACGCAGGGGTAAAATGCCGGTGCCTCTAAAAGAAGAAAACTGCAAATACATAAACTGTCGGAGCTCTGCGCGGACTTCTTGGATCGGCTCTGGGGGTCCCTATCGACGCCTCCGGCGCCGCCCCTGGCGCGCTCCGCGCGCCACGGAAGGGGGTTCAGCGCAGATCCGAGAAATCCGCTCGGAGCTCCAGAAGATTATGTGTATGCTGTTTGTTTCCTTCTTTGGACGCCCGAAATGGGTATGGAACAAATTGGCGCGATGTTCAACAACAAACCTTGTCAAAAACCGACAGCGATCGCTGTTGGGCAGGCGGCCTCCCATCTCAAATGGACAGCGCCCGCGGCAACGCCGACAGCGCACCCTGTTCAGAATGGGCAGGCACTGCTGTTGGCCTGCGTACACTCAGGTCGGGCATGTCCCCCTACAGGCGGATTTGGACGAAAAAGGTACAAAAAGTACCCCCCAACAAAAAAAATGCTCAGTAAAAAACGTCTCCATACTACTGTCTGACTATGTTTAAATATTCCTCATGTAGAAAAGACAGGCCCGACTTAACGTTGGCCTTCGTACACCCTCCTTCCGTACCCAGTTCGCCCGTGCCGGGTGTCAAGCCTCGCCGGGCAGTTGGTCCGCGCCGGGAGCTCATCCACATCCACCGGATGGGAGACGCGCCCTCCAAGGTCTGGCGGCGCGCAGACGGGGGCGGGGGGAGGGGGGAAGGCTTCTTGGAAGGACCCCGCTTCTTAGTAGGCGCCGGCCCTTCCATTTGTAGACAAGGCGCGCGCCCTGTAAGAAGCAGGGGTGCTTCCAAGAAGCCTTCCCCCCTCCCCCATGGCCCCCCCTCTGCGCGTGGCCGAGAGGTCCTCGCGGAGCGTCCCGCCCTCGGGGTGCGGGGAGGCAGCCAACGTCCTAAGGCTGCACGACGCCCCAGGAAACACCGGAGGTCTCCCAGGGGGGTCCGAACAGGGCGCGTGGGGAGCGCGTGTCGAGTAGCGGATCGACTACAGCATCGATCTACCACAAAACATGTCTGCTCGTCGACTCCATGAGGAATGCGGCGTCCCGTCTGTAGATTCGACGAAGACAGAAATCTGGGCATAAAGCTCAATTCTGCCGTCGAGCCCCTACTCGAGCGTGGGAAGGCGGCAGACCCCAAAGGGCGGAAAACATTACCCAGACCTCCGAGGCAAGCTGTGCTCCGCTCTCGGTCCCTGCGTGACCTCGCCGGGCCCAGGGACCATCCCCGGAGGCCTCCCAGATGGGGTCGGAGCAGCTGGGGTCGGAGGATCGCGCCGCATCGGCGTCGTCGGCGATGCATCGTCGACGTCGGCGTGGAGGAAACAGGGCTTCACGTCGAGCCGCATCGCCGATCAAATCGCCGATGCTTCGGCGACGCGTAGCGATCCTCCAACTCCATCTACTCGGATCCCATCTGGACGACGAGAAGAACGAGAACCGAGCGTCACGAGAGAAGGCATGGCGACCATGCACGGTGGCTTGCGCGGGCCGACAGCGCGGCACGCCAGAATGGAGACGAAAACGCGCACGCGCGACCGTACACGGGAAACTTACGCGCGACTATCGGAGCAGACCACCCCGTTTCGGGGGAACGAACACTGGCGTAGACATGAAAACGATGAGGTCCGCGCGGATTTCTGGGATCGGCGCTGGACACCCCCCCTCCCTCGCGCGCGGAGCGCGCCGGGGGCGTGGCCCGAGGCGCCGCCAGGGGGCCCCAGCGCCGATCCGAGGAATCCGCGCGGACCTCCGAGTCGTCGAGCTGCGCTTCCCCCCCGAACCTGCACGTGAATGCGGCTTCCTCTTAAAATCTGAAAGATGCGAATCGAACGGGCCATTTCACGACGAAGCGCCAGGGGAGATGTTACCCGCTTTTGCGCGGACGCGAATACGAGGATGACGACGACGACGACGACGACAACGACGAAGACGACGACATGAGCATGAAAACTCTGAGTTGTTATGATCAATGCCATCGGTGGTTCCCCCAGTTTCCTTCCGCCGCTCATCTGGGAGGCCTCAAAGCACGCCTCTCACGGATCGGCGGGTGTGGACCACAACTCCCCGGCGCGGAGGGTGGACACGAGCAGCAGCCGCCCGCCGGGCGGCAGCACGCGCGCCAGGGCCGCCAGGTAGCGGGCGGCGGCCTCGTCCGAGTCGCAGAGCAGCGCGTCGAGGCAGCCCTTCTCCTGAGGAGCACCCCCCCCCTCCTCCTCCTCCTCCTCCTCCTCCTCCTCCT